TGAGGTTCCCCGATCTAAATTGAACCACTCTCTAGGGGCACTCCCTGCAAGGAAACTGGAACAAACTTTGTGATCTTATCCTCAAATTACCTGATAACTCTGAATTGTACAAGAGGTAAGGGACCTCATGCAACTATTCCAACGGTAGTTCAGTGGTCTATTTTTAAGTGTAAATGCACTGAGAGTTGTTGGTAGATTTCTGAAAACATGCACATTTTACAAACAAGCTATGATACATATGTTAGCAATTCCCAGGCTCCCTCATTGTCCTCTGTCAGCTCAAGTGTTTGACAAGAAGTGAGTGTGTGTGAAAGGGTGGGTGAGGGAGTAGGTGGTATTATGAAAGCCAGACTTTGACGGAAGCAAGAGCACATCATTCCCATTTTTTTTATAATTTGCATAATTTATTCTAAAGGGCAAAAGCTATGGTTTTCTGAGGGCATCATTCCCATTTGCTCATTAGGTCAAAGTACACAGCGCTTACTGGACTCGGTTATTGAGAAATGGCTTTTCCATCCTTCTTGACTTCCCTTCCCCTCCTGTTCTCTCTTACTGCAGATGAACCAAGCAGGTGCTACTTCCATGATGGTGACGGCGTGTGCGAAGAGTTTGAGCAGATGACCAGCATCATAGACTGTGGAGTCTATACACCCAAAGGCTTTGTCGACCAGTGGGCGTCCAACGTGTCGGTCTCACATCATGATGAGCGATGCCCAGAATTGGTTGTGATAGGTCAGCCAGCAGCCAATCAAGTAAGGAAAGTAGATGGTCATTGGTTAAAGTGTTAAGCGGTGCATCCAAGCCAATGGGATGTTTTACTATTTCTTTGTGGGGGGAGGATTAAGTCGCATTTCAGTAGCACAGCTCATGCTTTGCACACAAAGAGCTCCAGGATGAATCCCCGCCATCTCCACATAAAGGATTTTTTTATTTTATTGCATTTATCCATTTTTTTTTCTGCCAAAAGCTCAGTGGTGTATATGATTTCTGTGAGGTAGGTTAGGTTAAGAGGCAGTGACTGGTCCAGGCTCACCCAGTGATCCATTACAGCACACTGGAAGCAGGGCTGAGAAAATGTTACCTGAGACCAGTGGAGGCTGGTGCTTATTGGGACTGGTGGGGCAAAAGATGATTGAGCGTCTGGTCACTGAACAACTCCAACACATCTGGATGATGCAGACCATTTGGATCCCTTCCACTCAGGATTCCGGACCCAACATGGGACTGAAACTGCCTTGGTCATGCTGGTTGATTATCTCCAGCAGGCTAGAGACAGAGGTGAAAACTCTTTCCTGGTTCTGCTGGATCTCTCAGCTGCTTTTGATACCATTGACCATGGTATCCTTCTGGACTGTCTAGAGGAGTTGGGAGCTGAGGACACTGTTATACAGTGGTTCCTATCCTTCCTCCTGGGCCGTGTCCAGAAAGTGGTGATGGGGGTGTGTGTTCGGATCCCTGGGTGTTCACTTGTGGGGTGTCTCAGGGTATGGTCCTCTCCCCCAGGCTTTTCAACATCTACAGGAAGGTGCTTGGAGAGATCATCAGGGAGTTTGGGCTGGGTGTTCACCAGTATGTGAATGATACCCAGTTATACCCACCTGGGTATCATTTGTATACCCATGCAAATGATACTCAGCTTTAAATCAGAACCAGTGACAGCAGTGAATGTCATGTGTGAGTGTTTGGAGGCATTTGAAGGATGGATTGAGGTAGAATCCTGACAAGACAAAAGTACTGTTTTGGGGGGACAGAGCACCTCTCTGGTTCTCAGCAGAGCATCTTTCCATCAGCTCACCATCTGGTCCTTTGAAACAGACATTGTCAAGGTTCGAACACAGTGCTTTCCCCTCCAGGGGTATTCAAGAGTACACAGTACTGGCACCTCATTTTGTTGTTGTTAAGAAGTGTGACACTAACAATTTCATGATAAGTACTGACACCTATTTTTCTTGGGTGGAAGCACTAATTGAACCTATGATATTCTACCTGCAAAACATGTGTTTTACCACTCAGCTATGGTTTCTCTTATGTTTATAAGATCATGCAGCTGCCTTGATTGCAAAATAGTGGTTCGTCTCCCAACTGACCTCCAGGGCCCCACTGGTTATTACTTTGCAAACCACAAGAGTATCTTTCCCCACCCCCATAACCACTGGAATCATTTCCTCCATAAATACATAAGCAAAGCATTGTGTGGGTTGGTGGTGGTGGGGTTTTAATGGAAACTTCTATCAACATTATGCTGCCTTCTTCTCCTGAATCAGAGTATTGGTCCAGGTAGATCTGGGGTAAGAAAACTGGCCTTCCAAATTCCCTCTAGTCACTGATCTTATCCAATGTCCTATACAGTGGTACCTCTAGATACGAATGGGATCCGTTCCGGAGCCCCGTTCGCATCTAGAGGTAAATGTAACTAGCGACAGCACGTCTGTGCATGCGTGCATCATTTTTCGCCGCTTCTGCGCATGCGCGTGACGTCATTTTGAGTATCTGCGCATGCGCAAGCGGCAAAACCCGGAAGTAACGCGCTCTGTTACTTCCGGGTTGCCGAGGAGCGCAACTCGAATGTGCTCAACTTGAAACATATTTAACTCGAGGTATGACTGTATATTGCAACAGTTTACTAGATGCCCCTGCTGGATGGTCCAACAGGAAATGAAAGCAATGGTCCTTCTTCAATTATTTGTCACTCAACTACTAAGACAACATTTTTGAAAACTTATATTCAGAGGTGCATTGCCTCTAAACATGGCATCTTCCTTTCCCCACATCTTATCATTATTACTATTAAAGTTTATTTTTATCCTGCTTTCCAGCTCAAGGGCATCCAAAGTAGTGCACGACATATATCAAAATACAATAAAAACTATGAAACAGTACTGAGTCAAAATAAAGGGAGCCAAACCCACAGAGCCAGGGGACAAAAATAACAGCTTCAATTGTCATAAAAGCATGATAGGAAAGTTGATTGTTTGTAGCAGAGGTGGGGAACTTCAGACCCAGGGGAAGAATGTGGCCCATGAGGCCTCCCTGCCTGGTCCTCAGAGCTCTTGCTGGCCCTGTTCTGTACTCTGAATGTGTTTGCCTGGCTGGAATGTATCCTTGGACTCTACTAATGCCTCTTGTTTGCTGAATGGGGGATTAGAGAGGGGGGTCTGTGCAAGCTAGCGTACTGTACAAAGGTAACCATTACATTTACCACTCCACGAATTTTCACCTCTGCCTGCCCATCCCTGGCATGTGACTTCCAGAAGGAAATGTGGTCCTTAGACTGAAGAAATGCTCCATCCTTGCTGGACATCAAAAACAAGACAGGGAGAGGGTCAAGCCATGCCTCCCAAGGGAGGGAATTTAGCTTCGTTATCTCTTAATTTTTCTCCCTAAGCAATCCAAATCTAGATTATTTCAGTGTATGTGGAATGTGTGTGTGTGAGTGTGTTGGGTCTCAGGAGTTTTTGATAAATTCAGTCTTTGTGAATTCTGATATGAGCTGGCTGATTCTCACATTCCATACTAACATGCAAATCAGAACATAGTTATCCTTCAGGTTTTTGTTGTTGTTTTTTTGTGGTTTTTTTTTTTTTGCTGTTTGTTTGTTCTCTTGGCAAACAAGGTGAGGTGTACAGTCCAATGATGAGCAAGCTCAGTGGGTAATGGTGGCCTAGTCATCCACTCTCTCAGTTGCCTCACAGGATTGTTGTAAGGATGACAGCCTCCTTACCCAAGTTCCATGGAGGAAGGGCAGAATGAAAACACAACACAACTGACAAAATCAATGAAGATAATAATGGCAAAAATTTTCAAGTCATCAGGCTTCATAGTTGTTTTTTTTACAAAAGGAAATGAGCTCTTTACCATAAAATCATATTTTTGACAGTCTGATTATCATTAAAATATGAATTTTAAGGAATAGTTTCCAGCAACATTTGTTGAATTTAAGAATGGGACAGGGAACTTAAGACCTGGGAGTCAAGTGCAGCCATCCAAACCTCTCTATCTGGCCCTTGAGATTATCCCCAGACTACACCCTTTACCAGCCCTGATCTATGCCTGGCTGGATTGCACCCTTGAACTGTGAAGATGCTTGCCTGGATAGAGATACAAATTTGTAAAGAAAAAGGAAAAAGCCAATTCTGATTCTTCCATGACTGTTGGGGAACAGGTTGTCTCCAATGTTAGTGCTACTCCGTAGAACTAATGAGATTGATGAACGTGACCAACATAATTGCAATGGGTCTCTTTTATAATAGAACTGATTTGGATACAACCCATCTGTTCCTACACCCACTTTATTTATATATTTATTTGCCCCTGGCTCCTATCCACCACTGGCCTGTGGCCCTCAGGCTAAAAAATGTCCCCCAACCCTGTTTTAAGAGGACTTTGGCATCCTAGTAAACTGTGCTTCAGATGTCAGCCTTGGTGTCACTGAATAAAGATAATAGGGCTTTCTTCGGGGGTGGGGGGAGACAGACAAGATAAAAATGTATTTGCACTTAGTGCCAGGGAAATGCTGCATCAAATGAGGAGGAAACGACTTCTAACAATGATAGTTAAATTCAGCTTGTGCCCTGCAAGGAAAGATACATATTTTTGGCTGCTACTGGAACTCTCTCCCCTTCTCCATATTCACCCGATCCATCTGACTCAAGCCTTCGACGGGCCAATGGAACGCCACTTAGCCAAGATTCCATCCTCCGTGTGCCTTGGCTTGCTCTGCATTGCAGCTCTGGACTCTTAAAAAAGCAGAGTGGCGGGGCAGCTGGGGGAGAGAAAAGAAATGAAAGCAAGCCAGTTACGAGGTACTAACTCATAAAGTATTATGAGGAAACCTATTACAAAGTTCCAGCTGTCTAGCTAACCCAGGCTCCTTCAGGGTAAATGCTGAGCCTGGGCAGAGAACTACAGTGTCCCTAGATAAGGACTATCACCTGTGGACAGCCCCCCCCCATACTTATTCTCCAAGGAGCTCATGGTGGTTTCCATGGTTACGTGTAAAAGGTCATAGCTCAGTGGTAGAACATCTGCTTTGCATGCAGAAGGTCCCAGGTTCAATCTCTGACATCTCCAGGGAGGGCTGGGAAAGGCTTCCTCCTAGCTCAGTTGGTACAGCATGAGACTATTGATGCCAGGCTTGTGCGTTCGAGCCCCACATTGGGTTAAAAATTCCTGCATTGCAGGGTGTTACAGTAGATGACCCCCATAGCCCTTCCAACTCTACAGTTCTATGATTCTGAAACCCTGGAGAGCTGCTGCCAGTCAATACGAGCTAGAAGGATCAGTGGTCTGAACTTGGATAACAGGACGTTCCTTTCTATCCTCTCCACAGTACTGAGAAGTAGGTTTTAGGGAGAGACAGTGTGACCAGGGGTGGAGGAAGCGGGTGCGGTGGGGGCAGGTTACCCTGGGTGTCACCACTGGGGGGGTGACAAAATGCCGGGCGGCACTCACCGTGGTTCCTGAAGCGTGTCTGAGCCACACGTCTCTCCTGGGAGTGACGCGGCCCCAAATGGTCCGCCCACCGCCTCCCCCTCAGCTGTAGGGCGGCTGAGTGGGAGGAGGCATGCAAACTCCTTAGAGGCCCCATGGAGCATCCTGCCCCAGCTGGCCTCGCCCCCGTGGGCGGCTGGCCCCACCCCAGGTTGCAGGGCATGCATGCTGCCCCAGGCGCCCAATCGGCTTGCTCCGCCGCTGAGTTTGACTGGCCTGCGTCTAACCCAGCAGTATTCATGGCCAAGGGAGGATTTGCACCCTGGTCTCCTAGCGCAACACACTCTGCTGTGTTACTTGTTATGCATTCCTTTAAAGCACTGGATGTTTTTGCTCTAGTTTCATAAACCATACTTTGTGAAGCAGGAGGTTATTCTTGCTGCAGTGCATTCCTCCTCCTTTGCAAAAAATAAATAAATAAATTGTAATTGCCGTAACTAAATAACAGATTCAATGTTGCAAATGTAAAACGAAAGCATGAACATTAACACACTGTGGAGCACAGAACCTGTCATGCCACACACTATGAAGCTGGTGGACAGCAGGTTAAGAACACAAGATTACTCAGCACATAGCCCACTGACGTATGAGTGGATCCAGAAGAGGCCACTTTTCCCCTCAAACCTGCATCTGGCCCTTGAATGGCCTCTTTATACCATGTCCAGGCATTGGTGGCCACCTAGGTTAGTATGTATGGCTGATGAACTTCAGACAGCTTGGTGGATCACATGTTGCTCAAGGCTTCTCTAACATTAAACCAGTTTATTCAAGAAAATACTGTTTAAAGCTCCAGAAGCTGGGCTATAAATAACTAAGGAATTTACATGTGTTTTTGGTGCGTGTTTAAAATAAAATGTCAACAACAGCAGCAGTGGCAAAATTAAAGCTAGAGAGAAGGTGTGAAGCTATAGGGAGATCCAGGGAGAGATTATTTCTGCAGCGTAAGAGGGAATGCCCTTGGCTCCTGCAAGGGAAGTTGTAACGAGAGGTTCCTCAGGCATGCCAAAGTGGAGACATCCCAGTTCTCAGCAAGGTCACTCCAAAGGAAGCAAATGGCTTCTCAATCATAGCAGGCAAATTTTCTTCTCTTCCTCTCCCTGGTTTGAAAACATTGTATTCATTGGCAGTGCCAATCCTTTAGGGGATTCTCTTCTAGAGGCCTATTTTACTCATTGAAATGAAACTGTGGCACAGAAATGGGGATTCTCCGCTAACATAAACACCATTTCCAGATAGTGGAAGCACCACTGAATATTGGGGTTGAAATAAGTTTAGGCCACTTTTTTTTTTTTAAGGAAGTGCATCACAAAAGGAGAGGATGCCAATTTGCATAAAATTTGCACATGCTAATTTACATGTAACTGTGCAGATTTGGAAATAATTATGATAGTTAAAAGAGAAATACAAAATAGGTTTTACATAAATTTGCATATGCTGATTTATATGATTCATAGAATGCAAATGTATACAATTACTATAATTTAAAGCTAAATATAGCATATCTCTCCCTAGTGGGGCAGGCTGTGAACAGTGACTTGACCTGTTGTCCTGGTATTAAACAATGACAGACACCTTCAAGGCCCCTGGTCTCCTTTTCTAATGCCTTTTAAGTTTTTGGTTTTTTTTTAAACCATCTGTCTTTGTTTAGTCTAAGGGCTGCTGTTGTGACCCATGACTGGTAGTGTGTTCCAACCCACCAGTTGAGGACAAGCGGGCTAGAAGACTGCTTCAAATCACAGGAGTGTCTAGCATAAGTTGAGCTGGTTGCTCCTCTAGGTTAGAATCAGAGGCTGCATGGCTACCAAGAGAAAGCTGAAATCCCAGTGTAGCCACCATGGCTACTTGATAGCGCAGTATTGTTTACACTGAATGGCTGTGGGGCTCTGGGATTTCACGCTGGTGACATTCCCAAGCCTACCTGGAGATGCCAGGGACTGAACCTGGGACCTTCTGCATGCAAAGCAGATGCTGTATCACTGAGCTTTGGTCTTCCGCCCTGTTAGGAACCCTGTACAGTTTGCACCGCAACAATCAAGTTGCGGGGGGGGGGCATTCACAGTGCTGCTTCCCCCTCCATATGTTTCCTCTTTCTTCTCCTCCTCCATGTTGCCCCTTGTAGAACTCAGTAAGTAGGAAGAAGGAAACAAAACCAGCATTAGTTATCTCTGTCTCTCAGTGACTCTGGCACCACCCACTATTGGGCTCCTTGCCTTCTGCCCTACCAGTCCCCAAAGGGCACCAGCCACCACAGAAATCAAAGGAACTCCCAGCCACACCCACCCTAGAGTGACACCTTCTTCTTTATCTTTTGAATGAATCTCCTCTTTTACTCTCACTCAAGAGTCCATGCAGATAAGTAAGGGGAAGAATGAAGTGAGGGTTAGCACACTCTGTTCCCTCTCTGTGTGTTTGGGTGCACAATTCAGAAAAATAGATAAAAGAAACAGATGCAGGCAGCACGGCAGCCATCCAGGTTTGAAACCAAGTTTGCCTTGACCTTTTTTTCTGAGATGCAAATCAAGTTTGTTTGGTTTTTTTTAGTCTTTTTAAAGAAACAAATGAACTTTGAGGTGTTACAAAATCATTTCAATCTTATTGGTTTCCAAAGGCTCCCCACCCCCACCCCTCAACATTGTTGAGAACATTGTAATAGGGCCGGCCTAAGACAGGATGATACATTTAAGTACCTGAGACAAAAGAACCAAATCATGGTTCAAATAATGGGAGTGGGGCAGAGTGTTCTGTTATCTCTCCAGTCAAAACACACAGACATCACCTGAGCTACTGGTATTCAAAAGCATTACTGCCTCTGATCATGGAGACAGAGCACAGCCATTTAGTGTATTTTTGGTCTTTGTTGGAAGCTGCCCAGAGTGGCTGGGGAAACCCAGCCAGATGGGCAGGGTGCAAATAATAAATTATTATTATTATTATTATTATTATTATTATCATCATCATCATCATCATCATCATTATCATCATCATCATCACAGCTGGTAGCCATTGATAGTCGTCGTCTCCTCCTCCTCCTCCTCCTCCTCCTCCTCCTCCTCCTCGAATCTGTCTATTCCTCTTTTAAAGCCATCCAAGTTGGTGGCCACCTCTGCATCCTGTGGGAATGAGTTCCATAGTTCAACTGGGCGCTGTGTAAATAAATTATTTTATCTGTCCTGGATTTTCCAACATTCAGCATCATTGGATGTCCATGAGATCTCATGTGAGGAGAAATAGGTATCTGGTTAGTCACTGTGAGAATGCTGGACTAGATGGAGCCTTTTATCTGTTCCAGTGGTTTGCTGTTCTTGAATGGCTGAAAACTGTGTTGGGGTGGGCTATGCCTGTGGGCCAGACATGTGTGCCTCCCACCCTGCTGACCATATCTGCACCAGACTGAAGAAGAAAGAAATTGTATTGATTAAAAGCATAAAATAATAATCCCTGCACACAGAAAATCTTAGACTCAAAACCTTTTCCCTTGCATGTTAGCATTTTATGTGTAGGGATAGATAGATAGATAGATAGATAGATAGATAGATAGATAGATAGATAGATAGATATAGATGATAGATAGATGATAGATAGATAGATGATAGATAGATAGATAGATAGATAGATAGATAGATGATAGATGATAGATAGATAGATAGATAGATATAGATGATAGATAGATAGATAGATAGATGATAGATGATAGATAGATGATAGTGTGGCAGAACATTATATCAAGTGATAAGTCCCTGCACTGAGAACTCAGCCTTGCTTTCATGCTTGGAGCTGTCCCTGGATCTCAAGGAATGGAAATCTCATGAGCCATACTGATACTATTCCAGCCAGAATCTGGGGCCTCTTCAGAGCAAGACACATAATAACCACCCTAAGAACTGTACTGGCATGACCTTCCTACCTGTTCCCATTCTCACCTACAAATAAGGGCTTTGTATGTGTGTTTGTGTCATGGCTGAGATTGGCTGCAAACTGAGAGTCTCCCTGGGCACAGATGGAAACACTGGCACAGTGCATTCCCTGCAGTAGTGGTGAGAGAAGACAAACCATCCTGTTCCAAGGAGTACATGTGTGATGTGGTGGGTAGAAAGAAATTTTAATGGGTGCTAATCTGGAAGGAAGGAGGAAATGAGAAGGGGTCACTGTCTTTCTCCACACAAAGGAACACTTGAATAATGACCTTATATAGTGCGGCTGTGTTGTTCCTGTGTGACAAGACAGACTAGTTGATAGTGATTAATCTAATTTGCTTCAGAGAGTATGGATGGCAGGAGGAAGGAGAGAGATGAATTCTTGGAGTGGATGGGGGGATATCTCAGATGAGGGACAGGGCAGGAAAAGAAACAATTGGTTCAGTTTGCATTTTAATGCAAAACTCCTTACTTCACCATTTCCAAAACAATATGCACAGGAAAACACAGCCACCCTCTTAAATGTCACAATTCTCTGAATTTTGAAGTGCAGTTCTCCAATAAATAACGTTTATAGGAATTCACATATGAAAGTATGCATTTCAGTGCATATATGCGTGAAAATAGCACAGAAAGTGTGATGTATTAATGAAAGCAGTGTATAAAAATATATGAGGAAAAATAATTTGCAAAAATGTGTTTGTTTGAGGAAAATGCATACAAAAGTGTATATATTAGGAGAAATTAATGCTCAGATTTAGACCCATTTTCATGAGGACCTTTTATTTAAAAAGAATTGCAAACTGATGCCGAAATGTGAAGTATGGAACAGGAGATGGGGAATTATGAGTTAGTGATAGGAACCAAAACTGACGGATGCTTTCTTCCCTACTGTAGCGGATCCCACCCTTGCCACCAATTAATATGTAGCAGACTCACCCACTAACTGCCCCCAGTTAAATATGGCGCTTTTCCAGGTAGAAGCTAACTTATTATTTAAACTTTATATAAGGATGTCACAGGCTTAAGCACAGTAGTATATGCACAGCTTTTCTTAAGCTTCTGTTGCTAAAGATCTGTTACTACACTTCGGGTAGATGTTCAGGTTTCTAGAATGGGTGGTAAAATGCTTAACTCAGCTTCTGTTACTTCATTCTCGTTCCCTTACTTAGTTATGGCAGGCATTACAGTTAAATACTTTTGACACAGCACAACTTCCTTCACAGACTTCACAGTTTTGGGACTACAACTCCCATCATTCCTAGCTAACAGGACCAGTAGGGATGGGAATTGTAGTCCCAAAACATCTGGAGGGCCGAGTTTGCCTATGCCTGCTCCTCAGAGCAGATGTTCAACTCAAATCGGAACCAGTTCTCCCTCAGTCAAATCCTATCCTAATCCCTATCTCTGTCCCCGTCTCTCAAACTAAACCCTGTTGCAAATCAAGCCCTATCTCTCAGCTCAGCTCAAACCCTGTCTAACTCTCTCAAAAACCGCTCCTTTTATTCTCCATCCCAAAGTGCTGCTCCTCCCCCTTTTTTGCTAGCTGACTTTTGTACCAATCGGAGAGAGGCTGCAGCCCTCTGGTGGAATTCTGAGGGACTACACCACCAGACCCCAGCTTTTGGGCTGCAGTTCAGTGGCAGAGCATCTGCCTTGCACACAGAAGTTCAGCAGTTCAGTCCCCAGCATATCCAGGGCACACAGGGGAGAGACCTCTGCCTGAATCCCCAGAGAGCTGCTACCAGTTAGGGTAGACCACGCTGAGCTAGAGGGAGCTACGTAGATGGTCTAAGGCACCTTCCTGTGTTGGGCAGGGTCAGTAAAACCAAACAGCCACTCAGTTCTGTGCGAGGAGCAGCCAATCTTTTTTGATGTCAAGGCTGGCATTCGCTCATGGTAAACTGGTCAAGTGCTGTATATTAGTGGTGGGTGGAGCCAAAGGTGAAAGTGAGTGTGGGCACCTCTGTCTGCCCCCTGCTGCTCCCCAGCAGACATTCATTTTTAAGAGAGGGGAAGAAATTCAACTGGTGATGCTTCTGGTGGTGTATTATACTTTAATAAACTTGCTAGTCACTTGTTACATTAAAAGATCTCCCACATATTTTAAAACACAAAGATGAGTAAAAAAATTCATTCTAAACACATTTACAGAGAAAACACATGCAATTAATGAAAAATATACGCAAAGCATCCCACAATAGCAACAGAAAGCTTCAGGATAATGAGAATATTCACCCAATCATTTTCTCTCTCACCCAGGCATATACACACTGTCCCTCTTTCATTAATCTGTCATCCAGTCACATACACAAACACATAAACAGAGTCTCCCCCACCTCCACCATCAGCTTCTCTCTGTTCCTCACTTTGGGAGCCCCAGACTCTACTCTCTCCCATCCATTTCAAAAAGAAAGACAGACATTTCCCAGGGATTAATCTTAAAATGGCCAAAGTGAATGCCTGTTCGGAATGAGGGTAGTGCTGATCTTGGGAGCATTGCCTTCCCTCTCATTTGGCTTCATTTCCCCTCTGTCATTTATTTGATAGCTGCACTGTGTTGCCATGTCCTCAGCACATGGCACCCATATGATTTTTCCTGGGAATTCTCTGTTTGCATACCTCTTCCGGGTTAGGGGGAACCACCTTGGCATCTAGTGCCATAACCAAGGCCCCTCAAACTCTTGCAGTCAGCACTAACCCTCTAATCTACCTGCTAATGCTGAAAAATGTAGGGATAACTCCCCTGATACTAGCTAGTTTCTTCCATCTCCATTCCGGATGAAACAATTGCTCAAAAAGTTGCCCAAGAAGGTGCCTCTGATGTTTGTGCATTGAAGAACTGTGGCTTCCCCCACCTCCACTCACCTCTTACTAAAACATAAACAAACAAACTCCAAGACATGCCACTGTGTAGCTTCACCAGAGTTTGCACAATTCATCTTGCAACAAAGCCTTAAGCAACAACAACAAAGATCCCTTCCTTCTTGCCTGCATGCCACCAGCCAATCAAGCTAGGATAAAAAATATGCTAGCAGGCTCTACTTGATTGACTTCAAACCACAATAATGAGAGGAAG